TTGTCCTTTTAACAAAAATGGGAGCATATTGGCGACATTGCTGATCTTTGTCACCTGATAATTGACTAACATCAAAGTAGTGAATAACATCATCTAGCCATGTCTTTGCATTTTCTTTCGAACTCCCATAAAACGGTTTAACAAAATCTTTCATATCGTGCAATGGATTCGAAGCATTAATCATCACTTGTTGACTCGGTGGTATTGTTACTGCATGTTGTCCCGCACCTACATTCGTTGGATGACTATGGTTCATAGAAACAAATGTGGGCCTAATACCAAAGGCTCCAAGATCGTCCGATGATTGCTGCTGCTTTTTTTGAGCAGGTAACTTTATATCTGATTGGCTATTCAGCAATTCTTTTTCCATCAGTTTATCTCGTTGATCTCGTGGCTGTTGCAAAACATATCTGTGTACAAATTCGTTCGTGAACATATTCCAATCTTTCATCCTTTCGCTATTATTACGATACCATCTGAGAACACTACCACTTAATATTTTATCCACCATTTGTTGCTTTTGTATTGAATTAAACTGTAACCCATCGAATATGTTATTCACCTCACTCAACCATTTCCAAGCATCCACAAACCCTTGTACATCAGAAAATTTACACACATTCTGAGCAATTTTATTAATATCTAACGATGTTGTTTTATTATTATTTATTTTTGTTTCCATTACAGGATTGTCCGATGATTGTTGCTGTTGAGGCGTTAAATTCTTTGTTAGCATTGGATCTGAATATTGTTGCATAGCTTTGCTTTTGATGGTTGGATGAGACGACGAAATATGCTGTCGTGTCAAATATTGGCCACTAACTAAGGGTGAAGTTATTTCATCTGATGGAGTCACATGTGATTGATTGTTACCAGTCACAGTTCGTTGTTGTTCCAATGCATGGTCAAATTCAAATGATGAATATTTTTTAGTTTCACTATTTAATGATTGTTGTGTTGTTACCACGGTCACGCCTGCAGTACGTAATACACATTGCTGAATTAATAGTTCTTTAAATGTAGTCCAACTGTCGATCACATCTATATTGTCATAATACCATTCTTTAAATAATCCTCCCAAACGCTGTGCCGCTAACTTTGCCTACCGTCGTTTCGGGTACTCTCGTGCGTCTAATTGTATCATAACATCACATAACCAATCTTTAACATGTAGCTTCGAATTTTCATCAAACATAGATATCTCGCTTAATCCTAAATGATCTCGTAAATATATTGATGTTAACGTTTCGTGTGTCCCATGTGGTATATCTGTTAATTCAGTTTTATCATTATCCAATACTGTTGTTATCGGCGAATCAATTTGTTCATTTGAGTTATCAATTCCATTGCTCAATTTTTGGTCACCATTTTCCTGTAAACCATCATTCAGTATACTATCAGTTACCACTGCTTCCTTTTCAAGTTGACATTCATCATGTCGTTGATGTTCCTTATCATTCATAACCAATAACGAAGACCTTGACTGTTGCTCCAAATTTACTCTATTTAACTTATCTGGACTATGAAAAAGCAAATCTTGCTTAACAGTTTTTGACAATTCTTCAGAGTTCATAATTGTTCGTATTTCAATATCAAGAATCGGCGCTTGTTCAATCTCAGCAACCAATGTCCCCCGAGGTTCAGCGTTCTTTTTTAACGTAGGTTGCTGCCTAGCAGATTTTGTAGTTGAAGAAATGGACAAAGATATTCTCAATGATTTCGTTGATAATTCGAATAAATCTTGTTGTGACCGTGATTTAAGGTTGTGCGAATGCGTATTCATGTAAGTGATACAATAATGTCTAATAACAAACGTATTATCGCTACTAAATGCAATAACATAAAACTCTCCGACAACGGGTCCGACTTTTGACGAATAGAATCTGTCACAAAGCCCGGCTGTGCACCACTTAGAATATCTCACCTGCCGTTACGTGCCCTTAACGTGATCCGACCTCTGGTTAAAAAAAAGGATCTTTTTATTATTAAATTAGAGGGGTGAGAGGGACAACAAAAAAATAGCACTCCTCTCCTGTACGTACAATCTTATTAAAACGAAGAATCTCGCACTCTATATGTATAGAGCTGATAACGATGAAAAAAGCCACGTCAGCAACGAGTCAGATTCAGTCAACTAAAATAAAACATCTCTGCAGCGAAGGAGAGAGAAGATTAAATAGAGAAAGGACTAAAAGATGTCACTGCCTAACAAGGATAAAGTTTTGAAATTCACCAAGACGATTAGTAGGAATGAGGAACTGAAATTCACCCCTACGCTTTTGATGATTTCTCAATGATTCTTAGATATCAATAACTACTGATCTTTATTGCCTCTGAAAAATATTTGTCCTTTGATTTTTAAGCATCGATAGTCACCGACAACCCAAAAGAATGTGAAAGGTCATAAAAAGAAAAGACGAATGTTAGTGAAAGATGACGACGTTCTGAACGAGCAAAGAGCAATTACACTCGATGACGGAGAGACAACTGATCGACCACACGTAATGACCAAAGACGTCGGGATCAAGAGTGATTCACCGCTCAAGTTTAATAGTCTGCATCTAAACTTGAATGCTGAAGAAATAGTTGATCAGAGGCAAGTGACAGTAGCGGCGGAGGAAGATAACACAACTGGCGACTGTATCAATCTAAATCGTCGAATAGTAGAAGCTATTGTTGGAGAACAAAAGCTGACAACTACGAACATCAATGATATCAAAATGCACCTTGGTCCTATTGTAGGGTACGCCGAAGAGCGTTTGTTGCCACTTT